AAAAAAACCAAAAAAAAAAAAAAAAAAAGAAAAAGAAAAACCAAAAAAAAAATTTCTCTACCACTTTTAGCAACCAAAAGAACTATGTATTTTTATTGTTATTTCCTTGTGATCAGTATTCTTATACTGATGTTATTGCATTTATTCTTTGATCTATTTGTATCCTTGTTAATTATTTAAAGTAAATGAATACATTAACTTCAGTTTGTTATAGTTTAAATTTTTGATATAGCATTTTATACTTTATAATGTATGTCAATATCAAGTATGCAAAACTCTTTTCTACTACAATATTTTTCTTGAAATTTTCTCAGAATATCACATCATTAGGAGTGGAATTCAGTAAAAGTTCAGTTCAGCTTCGTTTGTTAATGACCACAGACCCTAACTCTTGTTGGGCTCAAGCCCTTCATTGCCAACCATTTTCCCAGTCTCTGGAGCACCCACCACACTTTGCTCATTCATTTATTTTTCAACAGAGAGACAGTCAAGGAAAGAGTTAAAGAAATGATTTATACCGGAACCACCTATAAGTTCCCTCTGACCCTATAAAATTGTGAATCCTCATTGTGACAGCTGCCCAGTATCTGTCGTGGGGAGTCATGTACTATCTCCTCACTCTCTCCTAGACTTTGGTTGACACCCAGGAGTAGGAATCATAAGCCAGCAGAGAGCTCATGCTCCCCTGTGGATGGAGACATAGAACTGGCCCTTTCTGGTTTGTCCACAAAATGGGAGGGCAGCCATTTTGACAGGGGTACAACCACAAGCCTTTGAAACAGCTGCCGGAGGTACTTCCGGAACCGCTCACCCACAAAGACATAAATGACTGGGTTGATGCAGCAGTGGGTGTAGGCAATCACCTCTGTCACCTGTATGGCCAGGTCCAGCTGTTTGCTCTGCTCACACTGATTGGTGAATAGAACGTCTTGGAAAGCAGAAACAAAGACAGTCAGATTATAGGGCGTCCAGAGGAGGAAGAAGAGAAGTGTGATGGCAAATATCAGACGCATGGCTTTGACCTTCTTCTCACTGGGTCGTCTGAGCAGAATGCTGATGATTCCTGTGTAGCAGATGATCATGACTAACAGAGGCAAAATTAGTCCAAGGATGTTCAGCTTCAGAGCCTGAAATCGCTTCCACTGTTTCAGGCTCTCAAAGGGGTAATGAGGGCTACAGGTATGGTGAGTGAACTCCCACTGGGCTTTGAAAAAGTATAAGCCAGGAATGGAGGCCAAGATGGCTAGGGCCCAGGTGATGATACTGGTGGTAATGCCAAAAGCAACAGTCCGGGCTCGCAGAGCGAACACTGCATGGACAATGGCCAGGTACCTGTCAATCGTCAGCAGGATGATAAAGAAGATCTCACTGTATAGGCCCAGGTAATAAAACCCAGAGAGGAGTTTACACATGGCATCACCAAAAACCCAGGTGTCTTTTAACGTGTAGTCAATCCAGAAAGGCAAAGTGGAAAGGAAGATCAGATCAGAGATGGCCAGGTTGAATAGGTAGATGCTGGTCATGCTTCGAAGTCTCTTGTACTGCGTGAGAACCAGAATCACCAAGATATTGCCTATCATGCCAATGATGAACACCAGGGAATACAGAGGGAGTAGAAATCCAGCCCCAAAGGCTCTTACAGAATCCTTTTGGCAAGGGGTGAATGGCTCATAGTCAAATTCTGTGGTTGTATAGTAGTCTTCTGTGGTAGCTGGAATCTCCATCAGGGACTGGTCAGGAGCAATGGCTTCTATATTTATTTTTCTATTAAAGACAGAGGGTTCTAGGCAACAAAGACAAGACAATCGTTACATTTTTTCAGCTAATAAACTGCTGATTTAATCTTAGTGATTATAAAATCCTAGGGATGAAATGGAGGGCCAGGAGCACTTGCATGTCCTTCTTACATGGACATTATAGTCTAAGAGGGCCACAGAACAAATAAATGAGTGTGTGAATAATTCATTCAATTATTCTAAGAGTGACTGTGTAAGAAGTTCAGTGGATCAAACACAAAAGAGTTTTTGTTCCAACTAATGTTCAAACTAATCACTGTTCTAATTAATGGTTTCTAAATGACCCCAAGTGGCTGAATTTGAACTTAGTGTTCAACACCTGTTAAGAAGGCAATTGATTCCATTCAGAGGTGATGAAATGGGGTGCACATTGTCACATGATATTACAATGTGGCTCAGTACCTCAGAAGTGATGACACAGAGTTTGCCCCCAAGCTACTGAAATGTGGCACAGGACACAAAACAAGAGCTAAAGAAGAAAGCCATGAGTGTTTTGTTCAACTCCAGCACTGAAATTATTTGCCTCTGCTGCCTCTCATCACAATGCTGGCTTTGTTACTGGAGTCTCTAAAAAAGCTCTGGGAAGCAAGACAGTCCTGGGTAAGAGCAAATGTTCATAGCTATGGAAAGTTATTATTATTTATCTTATTATCCAAGAGACTAGACGACTTTCAGTTGGTAGTGGAACAATGCATGCTCTTTAATGAAAAAAATCATTATACTCCAAAATATGTAGATCTGATATAGCAAATTCCTACTAGAACAATCTATTACTTTATAGGATGAGACTCAAGACACCAGGCTGGTTGTTTGGCTTAGGCTGATCCATGTCACATGGCCTTTATATGGTATAGGTAGTTTTACAGTTAACTCAGTAGCCCTCTGTGAGCATCATGAGAAGGCTAGAAGGAGGACATGGCCTGTAGACATGACCCTGACTGTGTTTGGAGGAGGAACAGAAGGCCCATGTTGTCATTGACTCTCCCAGGCCTGTGAATATCTGCTTGTAGAAGTCTTCCCCAGGGCCCCTTCCCAGTGCTCATGTATATCCCTAGAGCCTGGAATCTTCCAGTAAGTAGTTTCCTGTAGCTTGCTCATTTGTGAAGTGTCTGGGAAAAGATGACAAGAAGTACTCAGGCCCAGAGTGATGCCAGATGTTTGTTGTGGCTCATAAGTGTCAGTGTGTATATCTGCTCCATCTCTACACAGCATGGGACAACTTGTAACTGGCCATCACAGAAGTTAACAAACATTATTAACCATTTTAGGTAGAGGCAAGTTTTGTGTATTTTGTAGCAACTTGCTACCCAGGTCTTCTTGGTTAGATAACCCAGAACTGTCATGCACGCCAATGTCAGGTATTGTTACTTATTTGCTAGTAATTCATGGTCTCACTGGTTTAGGAATCTCAGAGCATCTTGCTGTGTGGTGTGTAGAGAATTTCAAGATTAGAAAAGAATGGCTATGAAAATCTAAAGGTTTTTTGTTCATTGAAAATTTGTAGCTGTCCTACCTTTTCCTAACCCATGGAAGGAAAGGCAAAATAGGAATTTGCTTCAATCAGTCATACCCAGCTTTCTTATGCATAAAACAAACCCACATCATGTTAGAATACAACAGATATATCCCAAGACTCTATCTTTGCACCTGCTACCTCTAGGTGGTGACTTTCTACCTTCTCCAAGATAGTAGTCCCAGTGTTGTGATTTTAATTTTAAGAAATTGGTTCAGGATTTTTATAATTTTTACTTGCAATGATTTTTTTCACTAATATATATTTTATTTCTGCCATTTCTTCATATACTATATTATGTTGGCCTTTATATGAATAAGAATATCTTCTAAAATAGATTTCTCTGAAAGGCATTTCTTGTCTTTTTATGCTGGTTTACTTTCTTAATCATCAACAACAAACTGTCAAGATCACTTTCTAGAAAATGTTTTATACCTGAACATCCAGCTTTAGGAATACACACAAGATCTTCAGTATTCTTGAGTATTAATTGCTTTACAGATATAGCAATAGGTCACATAGGAATCATCTGATTCTCAAAGTATTACACACTGTTGAGGATCCCTGTGCCTTTGTGATTTCCCTTCACACTAACTAGCATCATAGAAAAGACAAGTACAACTTACTGTGTTTCCAGAGGATTTTGTCCACACAGGCTTTGTTTCTTGGCTTTTAAGAGTCTTTATGAATTCATGGTGCAAGGTCTTGAACAAGTAAGAAGTTCTTGGTGTCTTGTGAGATGATGGAGATTGGACTCTGGTTTTACAGTCTTTCAAAATGACAAGAAGGATGTAAAGTTCTTCGTTTTGTATGGTTGGCTGCCTATGAAACACCACGATGCCCACCAGTGGTCAATTCCTGGGGTCCAAATTTGATACATGTGTTTTCTCTGTCCTCTCTGCTACAGTTCTAGGAAAGTTCTAGTCTTCTCAGAAGGATCTCTAACCTACAAGGATTGCGTAGGGTGTGGTTGGGTGGAGTTGAGTTGGACCATGTGAGTGACAATGAGTTGTTCCCCAGAACTCATGGAGCAACTGAATGCATAAGTGTGGGTGTGTAAATGTGGGGGCTGGTCACAGTGTTCTTGTGGTCAGTGAGAAGCCTTTGAAAAAAAAAGATTGCAAATAGAAAGGTCTAAAGCAGAACCCCATGTCTTGTTCCTCAAAATCATCTGTCTGATGAATGAGGACCTAGAGAGACCTGCCCTTTTCTTTTGGGTTCTACACTGATGTTATTTCTATTTGTACTCTAACTGCTTCCTTTACCTCTCCTCTGCTCTCAAATCTCTTCCCAACCAAACTTCAAAGGATGGTTTCCCCTCAAGGATATCTGGCAGGAGAGTGCATGCTGTTTACTCTTCCTTTTCTGACAGGTGTGATGATACATGTCTTTAATTCTCAGTACTCAGGAGGCAGAGCTAGGATGATTTCTGTGAGTTCCAGGCCAGCTTGGTCTACATAGCAACAGCCAGGGCTACACAGAGAGACCCTGTCTTAACAAGCAAGCAGGCAAACAAAAAAAAACACACATTAAAACATTGGATATGTTCAGAGTGGCATGGTTGTATGGTGTGGGAGGGTCTTCTGTCTATGTGTTACTTTCATTGGTTAAATAAAGAAGCTGCCTTGGCCTTTTGATAGGCCAGCCCTTAGGTGGTTGGAGTAGACAGAACAGAATTCTGGGAGGAAGAAGGCAGTGTGGCAGACACCATGGCTCTCCTCTCTGAGATGGATGTTTGTGAGACTCATGCCAGTAAGCCACAGTCAAGTGGCAATACAGATGATTAGAAATGGGTTAGATTGATATGTGAGAGTTAGCCAATATGAGACTAGAAATAATTGGTCAGGAAGCAATTTAATTAATCTAGATCTACATGTGATTATTTCGGGCATAAGCTAGCTGGGCGGGATGGAACAAGGGCCTGTGTTCTCCTTTTACTACAGCTGTAGACTCTTCCCTTCTTGATACTCTTGATTCATGCATGCACTGGGAAAACATGGTCCAAGTGCCAAGCCCAGCAGGTCCCTACACCTCTCTGAGCCTAAGGTCTCATTCTTTCAAATGAGAACAATGAGCACTTAGGCTCATAGCAAGAGTATGAGATAAAAGAGTACACGAAGAGCATCAGATGTGATAAAGAAGCCAGAAATACACACCGAAAATAAAGATATCACCATGAACAAATAGTATTGGTCAAACTAGATGGCTGCATGTAGAAGAATTAAAATAGATACATACTTATCACTGTGTACAAAACTCAACTCCAAATACATCAAAGACTTAAATATAAGACCAGATAAGCTGACTCTAAGAGAAAAGAAAAGTAGGGTATAGGTTGAATTCATTGGCACAGGAAAAAAGCTTTCTGAACTCAATACTTAGCCCAGGGGCAGGGAACCATGAAGTTGGCCTGGCCTAGCTGCCTTGAGAGGCATTCTTCATATTTTTTCAGGTTAGAGTCCATGACTCCTGGGGACACAATTTGCCTTCCATTTCTGAGAATGCACCCCAAAGTCAATGAAGCATTCTGGCCACCTTGTGATTCTCTGTATGATCCTGTAGTAATCAACAAAGCATGGAAACTTGACAGGACAATTTGTTTTAGACATTAATCTTGTGTACTCTGTATAGCTTGCAAATTTCATTGTATCCTGGAAAATACAACTGTATTGATCTTGGCAATTACCATTATAGTCTGTATCTGATAAAGGTGTAAAAATGTGATTGCTGTTAATAAAATTGTCACAGCCTCAGTTATGCTGTGGTACCTCCAACCCAAGCCTGATTTCATTCCTGGATGCCATATCAGGTGAACTTATCCCAGTAAGTAAGCACAGGCACTTACACGCAGATGTGAAGAACAACAGTTAGTGAATGGGACCTCATGAAAGAAATTTGTGCAAAGTGGCAGGCTACAGAATAGAAAAAGATTTTTTACTAACTACACATCCTACAGAGAGCTAATATCCAAAATATATAAAGAACTCGAGAAATGGGGCATCAAAGAAATAAATAACCCAGTTTGAAAATGGGATGCAGGTCTAAATAGAGAATTCTTAAAAGGGGAAACTCAAATGGTCTAAAAGCACTTAAAGAAATATTCAACTTCCTTCACCATCAGGGAAAGCTAAATCAAAACTACTTTAAGATTTCATCTTATACCAGTCAGAATGGTTAAGATCAATAAAACAATTAACAATGCAATGCTGGCTCCCAGGAGCCCAAGGCGAAGTCCCCAGTTAGTCCCTTGGGAACCTGAAATGACCCTATCCTATAGCAATACTGACGAATATCTTTCATATCACCATAGAACCTTCATCTGGTGATGGATGGAGATAGAGACAGAGACCCACACTGGAGCACTGGACTGAGCTCCCAAGGTCCCAATGAGGAGCAGATGGAGGGAGAACACGAGCAAGGATGTCAGGACCACGGGGGGTGCACCCACCCACTGAGACAGTGGGGCTGATCTATTGGGAGCTCACCAAGGCCAGCTGGACTGTGACTGAAAAAGCATGGGATAAAACCGGACTCTCTGATCATGGCGAACAATGAGGACTGATGAGAAGCCAAGGTCAATGGCAAGGGGTTTTGATCCTATTTCATGTTCTGGCTTGGTGGGAGCCTAGCCATTTTGTATGTTCACCTTCCTAGACATGGACGGAGTGGGGAGGTCCTTGGACTTTCCACAGGGCAGGGAACCATGACTGCTCTTTGGATTGGAGAGGGAGGGGGAGAGGAGTGGGGGGAGGGGGAGAAGAGTGGGGGGAAGGGGGAGGGAAATGGGAGGCTGGGAGGAGGCGGAAACTTTTTTTTCCCATTCTCAATAAAATAAAAATAAATAAATAAATAAATAAAATAATAATAATAAAGTCAAAAACAGAAAGAAAAAAAAACAATGCAATGTTGGTGAGGATGTTGAGTAAGGGGAGCACTCATCTATTGCTGGTGGAAGTGCAAACTTGTACATCCATTATGGAAATAAGTATGGTGATTTCTCAGGAAGCTGGGAAACAATATACCTTAATATCCAGCTACACCACTCTTGGGACTATACCTAAAGCACTACACATTATACTACAGAGATACCTTCTCAACCGTGTTCACTGCTGCTATATTTATAACAGCTAGAAATTGGAAGCAATCAAGATGTTTATCAACAGATGAATGAGCAAACAACATGTGATACATTCACATAATTGAGTATTACTCAGCCATTAGAAAAATGAAAATTGCAGGTAAATGGATGGAGCTAGAAAAAAAATCATCCTGAGTGAGGTAGCTCAGGTTCAGAAGGACAAATATTGGTATGCTTTTATTTATATGTGAAATTAGCTGTTAAGTCACTGATAAGTACCACTGCCCTGAGGAACAGTCCCCAGCAGCTCAGGGTGTGAGGAAGAGCCAACACCAACAGAGTCAGTGGACTATTACCCAAGTTGACTATCTGAGGAAGCAAAAATTCTCTGGGGCAATGAGGGGGCCTAAACTTAACTCTTGAGGCTGGTGAAAAAGGGGAACCCACACACTCTTAGGGTCTTATAAAACAAGTTTTTCCGATAACCCATACATTCATGTACAAGTCATTTGTCATAGATGATCAGAGTGTAAGCAAGCAAGGTATTTCTCTCAGCCATTTCTTTTACTGGCAGGCTGATTTTGTGGTTACAAAGAAAAGATCCATCACTTTATTACTTATCTCAAAAGGCAATCTTATAAGGAATCTTAAAAGAATCACAACCCTAAACTTTTATATATGGAAAAACAATGTCATCTCTACTTTAAATCCCCAAGGTACATACCCACTCATCAACAGTTTTATTTATTTATTTTAACTTGCCTCTGTCTAGTTTTCTTTTTTTAATTTTTTTAAAAAATTTTTTTTATTGAAAAGAAAAAAAATTAAAAAAAAATTTCCGCCTCCTCCCAGGCTCCCATTTCCCTCCCCCTCCTCCCGCCCCTCTCCCCCTCCCCCCACTTTTCTCCTCCTCCCTTTCCAGTCCGAAGAGCAGTCAGATTTCCCTGCCCCGTGGAAAATCCAAGGTCCTCCCCCCTCCATCCTGGTCTAGGAAGGTGAACAACCAAACTGGTTAGGCTCCCACAAAGCCAGAACATGATGTAGGATCAAAACCGCGTGCCATTGTCCTTGGCTTCTCATCAGCCCTTATTGCCCGCCATGTTCAGAGTCCGGTTTTATCCCTTGCTTTTTCAGTCACAGTCCAGCTGGCCTTGGTGAGCTCTCAATAGATCAGCCCCACTGTCTCAGTGGATGGGTGCACCCCTCGCGGTCCTGACTTCCTTGCTCATGTTCTCCCTCCTTCTGCTGCTCATTGGGACCTTGGGAGCTCAGTCCAGTGCTCCAGTGTGGGTCTCTGTCTCTATTTCCATCCATCGCCAGATGAAGATTCTATGGTGATACGCAAGATATTCATCAGTATGGCTATAGGATAGGGTCATTTCAGGTTTCCTCTCCTCAGGAAACTGATGGCGGAAATGGGTACAAGGATTTAATCATCATCCTTGATCACCAACCAATCCTAGTAAGAAAGGCACGGCAACTAATAATAACTGGGCAGCTTTGTTCTTGTTATTTGACTTCAAGGAGTCTTTTACTCAACTGTGTGACTTTCTAAACTTTAAATTGTTTCTTTGGTTTTTTTTTTAAGCTTCAAAGCTATTAACAAAAGCATTTTAATCTAACCTTAATTTGTATTATCTCAAAGCTTTGTTTTAGCTATGGTTCACACTGAAGCCTGCGAACACATCTCTCAACCTTAAGATTAAAAGAACTTGAGATAGCTGGACTTCTGGAACTCAATTATTTTCTTAATCATTTACCTATGTCACAGTCTATATGGCTCCTCATGAGAAACTAGCTGTGTGACATTTCCTTGTTCTTATTTTCTATCCTCTTGCAGCCCCTGCTTTATCAGGGGTGGGAGGCAACAGTATGTCTTGCTTTTTACCTATATTATTCTTCCCAATAAGCTAACCTCTGTATTAAAGACCCTCAATTACTAATGTCCTATTTAAACTACTATTGTATAAAATCATTGCTTCAGTTAAACAGTACACCTTAGGAGGAAATCATCTTCATAATAATCCACAAGTAAAAATGCCCACTAGAACAGGATATTTTCATGAGCTAATCATATCACATTAAAGGTAGTGGGGGTGTTCTCATACCCGTTTACAACATGTCAGATACCAGAGGAAAATGAGCAACAGCAAGCATGAAAAGACTCAGCAATAGCAAGAGACATTCTGGGGCTGAGGCTCTCCGGGCCTTGTCTTTCCAAGACTCACCCATTGGGGCCTTGCTTCCTGGTGGGCTGACTTCCTGAACCTCAACTGCCACCTACTGTTCCTCTGACATACCCACTGGCATATCAACAAGTTACATTCAATATAACCACAGTGGTTATGTATAGAGTAAAGGACTAGGAGAAGAGATGGATCTCCCTAGGAAGGGGAAGTAGAATCCATAGTTGTGAATGGATAATGACTAGGCTGGAATG